CCCATGTTGATAATTGTATCCAAGATCATAAGGGTCTAAATTAGTTGATTTTTTATAATTAACCGAATTATTATGATCCATTTTACTTTAAATATGAGAAAAAAACGGAAATCGGATTTAGTTTAAAGCATTTAAATGTCAATGTAAATGTAAATGCAAGGCATTATTATTTTAGAGTTTGCATCGCTGTTCAGTGTTACAACTTCTTCCGATCTCAAACTTTAATTCTAGGTACGTACGTACGTATGTACGGTGCAAGGAATCTAAAAAAATCAATCACTTTATATAGAATAAAAAACGCCCCAGCACATTAAATTCACTAGCGACTTATTTTAAGTTTCAGTCGCATGCATAAAACAACACCTATTAATTATTATTGCTCGATCAGAAACTTTATTAATAATAAAGATGAAATAACATATGGGAATAGGTTCGCTATTACAAATTACGCTAATACTAAACCACTATTCAGTTATATAATAAATACAGTAATACAGTTGAAACTCAAACTCTAGAGTTCCTTTGTGAAACTTTCATAGCTATGACGAGAATCGATTGGAGAAACATATTAATTTTGAAAGGAACTTGAACATAAGTAAAGTCCTTGCACTGCAAATGCAGCCGTGGAGCCAAATAGTTGAGAATAAAAAATTCTTGCATTGTAACGCAGTTGTGGAGCTAAATACCTGAGGACACAAGGTCCTTGCACGCAAATACAGGCGTGGAGTCTGAAACCTTTGACAAAATTGGTCCTTGCACTGCTATAGCAGTCTTGGAGCCAAATACGTTCTTGAACTGCTGAGCAGCTGTGGAGTCCCTGTACTGACTTACCTGTCTCTTAAGAATCTCAAGTTTTAAAATCGTATTATAAGGTCCTTGCGCTGTCTTGCAGCCGCGGAGCCTGTTAGCTTAAGTCTTTGCATTGCCTCTGCAATCTCAGAGCTTAAGAAAGGTTTCTTATAGTACCTTGAATCGGGTGGGTTGGGAGGGTGACGAAGCCAGCCCGAACTACTGGGCGAGCGATAGCGAACAGAAAGATAAACAAAAAACTATCTGAAGAAATAATATTTAAATACATCGTCTCTCAACTGATTATCAACCCTCCCTAACCTACGCCACGATTCTCACACAAAACTTCTTATTATTTCTTAGCTTACAATCGTAATTACCATTTAATCTCAATTCATGAACAAGCGAATTCGGAATATTCATATGTTATCCCAGTATTACTGCTAAAAAACTTGGATTCAACCAAGTTACTCTATAAAAGGATATACATATGATTTACATGTCATCTGATCTCGCAATAATGATCGCTTCGTCACTTCGTTGACAAGCTTTTCATTATTATTGCTCGATCAGAAACTTTATTAATAATAAAGATGAAATAACATATGGGAATAAAGAAGAGGATCGTTTTAGTAGAAACCCATTTTCCTAGAAATCTGTAATTTATCAGTTCCAACTGATCTTAAATACAACATCACCGCCTTGCTATCCCAACCACCTATAGCACGAATCTGTGTAAGAGATAGGCCTGCCTCCATAGCAGCAGTAGCACCACCAATCCTAATGCTGTGTGCAGTAAAACGACCCTGAACACCTGCATACTTAGCAATTCGTTTTACAATAGCCCCTATGGCTCCCACTGTGAGTTGTTCTTTCTTCTTTGACAAAAAAAGGGGTTTATCATCAGTAGTTTTTGGTCTTATTAGTAAATACCTACGTAATAATCTGACAGGACAGTAACAGCTATCTAAGTATTCTACAGAAATAAACTTTCCATGGGCAAATTGGTCAGTTTTAGAGGAAACAATTCGAATCCAACACAACTTCTTTTTGATCTTAATATCCCGAAGCCTTATCTTACTCAATTCGCCAGGACGACGCATAGTTCTTAAACCTATAGCTACTAATGCTGCATCCCGAATCCAAAATTCTTCACTAATAAACTGTGGTTTATTATCAATAAAATGTTTTAATGCAAGGACTGGTAGGGGGTCACGAGGCCACTCAGGCTCCTTATCCTTCCTATACTCTTTAAAAAGTGCTTTGAAAACTTTTTTAACTTTATAATTCTTAGAAGGGTCTGGTAACTGTGCTTCTAGATGTTCTCTTGAAACCGCAGCCAGAACATCTGTACAATTTGAAAAGGCATGCGTAAGATCAAGCCAGACAATGAAGGATACAAGTGTATCTACTTTAGATGGTAGTGCTTTTAAACCCATAACTTTACAGTAATTATCATATAAACACCAAGCTCTGTCTAAATGCTGATTCCAGTTCTGAGATACAGAATTTTTACGCAGGATCTGAGCTCTAGCAAGTAACATACTAACTAGCCTACTCTTACTGCTAGGAACTGCCAACTTAGATTCTTCCATGGTTCCACTACACCTGAAATCCCCCTTACGAATGCTATCTCGGGTGGTGGCAGAACCAAGAAGTCTGTTTGGTTGTGCAATAGGGTTGGCCACCATTCCGCAGAGACCCATCTGGGAACTATTACTGTTGCAACTGCCTTTTCCTCTATAATGTGTTGTAAAACACGATGAATCAGGGCCAATGGAGGGCATACATAGTTGTTTTCTTCCTTCCAATTCTGAGTGAAACAATTTATTCCCTCTGAATTGGGACAATAATAACGACTGTTGAAATGAGGAAGTTTCGAATTCTGATAGTCTGCCATGCGGTCTATGGTATGGGGACCCCATCTTTCCTCTATAAGCTTGAAAACTAACTGGTCTAGGCACAAGTCGTTGGGGTCTACGAACCTGGTTAATGTATCTGCTGGATTCAGCTCTGAAGGGATCCAAAAAACTTCGTTGATCCATATATCGAACTTGTCTAATTGTACCCAGAGTCTTCTTAATAGGTTTTTCTGCCACGGAAGCTTGCCTCCCCTTATGACTGTGCTGATAGCGCCTTGATTGTCGATGTGTAAATCGATCCAGGAGTGTTGTAGAAGTTCTGCAAATGACATTATTCCTAAAATTACTGCCTCTGCTTCTAATTGGGTGATCTCCTGGTGTGACTTTTTCAAATTCCAGTTTCCGAAGCCTTTGTGTTCCTTGAAAATTGCTGACCAACCTACTGTTGAAGCATTGACAAATACTTGTTTTACCTTTGATGGTTTCCAGACCGGACGTCCATTTCATTTTTTCAAATTCTGAGATACCCACTTTGCGTCCTCTCATGCCTGTTCTGTAATATAGACCAAGGAGTCCCATTCCCATATCTTTTTCTTGGCTGCATCTATTAATGCATAGAACTCTAGGCAGCGAACCTTGGCATGGGCAAACGCCCTGTTTAAGGATTGTATTTTCCCTGCAATCGCTGCTAATTCCCGTGCTGAAATCCTTTCCTTTTCTGCTAATCCGCTTAATAGTCTTCCTGTTTCTGTGACCTTGTCCTCCGGAACCCTTACCTCTGCTTTTACTGTATCTATCAACAACCTGAAAAACTTTACCTGTTGAGATGGGATCCACTGACCCTTTAATGGCTCCCTTATTAAACCACATCTCTCCATATCCACATTTATTACTTGATCCCTTATCATTATCAAAGTGTCTAATGAAGGGTGTGCTAACCAGAAATCGTCTAAGTAATTTCCACAATACAGACCCAGTGACCTCCAATGCCCAACTACTGACCTCATAATTTTGGAAAAAATCCATACTGCTTGTGAGAGTCCAAAGGGAAGAACTCGATAGTAATACCAGTTGTCCATCACTCTGAAACCTAGAAATCGCTGTGCAGTTTCCTTCATCAAAACATGGTGATATCCTTCTTTCAGGTCCCATGTGATCACATATCATCCTTTCCCTATCGTTCGAAGTAAACCACCCAAGCCCTCTAATCAAACTTTTATTTCAGGTAAAATCGAGTTTAACCTCCTCAAATCGATTACTAATCTCCATCTCTTTACACCCTTCTTCGGAACTAAGAAAACCAGACTTACTTCTAACAGGAAGTCAGGCCTTTTTGTCTGATTCCCTAAACAAACAATTGCTGAGGTCCCTATTAACCGATTTATCTCCTCCTCTACCCACTCTCTTTGCTCTGCTGTCAAATGATATTGCTTTGGAACTGGTTGTGCAGCGAGCACCAAAACACCTCATGGGAATAAAGGAACGCCATTTGTTAACCAATCCATAACTACTGGAGATGGCCCTATTTTGTGTTTCCAGTAGTTTAATGCTTCTATCGTCTGTATTTTCCCTACCACTGATGCCTGAACTAACGTATCTACTGATTCCATACTTTTTACTTGTTCTTTCGAAGGGGCCTGAGCGTAGTCAATCATCATTTTTAGGTTTACCAAAGGCCTTTGAACTTGTGGAGGGACAGTTTGAGGCAATATGACCGATTCCTCTACAGTTGAAACATGTAATCGATCCTTGGCGTCCTGCCCAACCATATTCTCCCCTACTACGAAAGGAATTGACCTTTCTTTCCTTCCTCTTACTCCTTCTGTAAGTGTCACCTTCTGACTCAGATTATGTTGGTGATAGGTGGTCTTTACTTCTCTTTCGCTTATGCTGGATATACCTAGATTTACTACCATATTTCCACCGACTAAAAGGAGATTCTAACCAGGGTTTATTAAAGACTGGAATCCGATCCTTATACTTTTCCATCATTTTGTCACCGTTTCCAACTATTTGTAAGGCAGCTTTCCAGCCTTTGTTATCTGCTAATCTCAGTGTTACTGCACGAGCCTCTATTTC